ACAATGCAGCATTGAAAGCCAGGTCAGCATCCTTGGGCATTACTAGGAAACTTTAGTTCATCTGGTATTTCCATCATCCTCAAGATTCTTCTGAACAATCAGAAAATCTTCCAGTCTCCTCCTACCTCACCTGTCCACAGACTTCCTTTAGCTTTCTCCTCTCTACTGTGTGATCCTGCTGGTGCAGCTATTTAAGCTTTAAATGTTCAGAGAATCAACCCCCTCTAAATATTAATTCAGCTCATTTTCTCACAGACACTGACTCAGCCGTGGGTTGTGCAGCACTGACGTTTCTAACCAAACAGCATCGTGTGAGCAGTGATCATCCCACTTCTCCATTCCTGAACAGTGATTGGCTATTGTAATTGATAGGCAGGTGGAAGAAAACGCAGGAGCGGAGGGCTTAGAGATATGTAGATCTATTGCCAAATGCCATCTGTAAAGCTAATTCTAGCTCTGATGGCTTGCCAGGTTTTAGAACTAGGATGCAGATAACTCCATCCTTCCAGTATCAGTGTATCCGTTGTAGACAGCGAGCTCTTTAAAGCCACAAGGAAAATACCTGCAGCCTAAGAATCCACCCACAACTATTCTGTTAAGAACCAAACTTTCCTATTCTAACTATTCTAAAGGGGACCGGAAAAGCAAGCATGTTTTACATGTAGTCTCCAAGAAAAAAAAAAAAAAAAAAAAAAAAAAAAGCATGTGTGCTTCTGTGTGGAAATGAAACCTTGCAAAGCCTGATATTGGATATATGTATTTATCTTTAGAAACCTGAGCAGACTGCAGAGAGCAGTTTTTACATAGTCATATTCTATCAAATTCAAGAGCCTTTAGTGTGTTTTTTTAGTCAGACATTTTAACATTTTACAAAAGAGGTGTTAGTTTTCTTTTTTAAAAATTGTTTAAAAAAAAAAGCCATCTAATTTGTAATTTAAAAAAAAGTTACCACATTTCAGGCCAAGTATGCTTCAACTGAAATCACTGTTACCAACTTCAGCAAACTAGAAAGTTCCTCTACATACACATTGCCTATACTAGCTACATATATCATATATGTATGTAACACAGAAGCAAAGCTCACTGGTTTTAACCTAATTTATTTGTATACAAATTCTAGGTTCATCATAGAAAGCCTGCATTCAAAAAACATAGTGAATTAGAATTATTTATATATTTACATATGCATGCAATAAAAACTGGTAAAAATAAGGGATCATGGACTTGAAGGAAATTGGGGAGAGATTTGTGGGAAGGTTTGAAGGCAGGAAAGGAAAAGGAGAAATGTTTTAATTAAATGATAATCTGATAATCTCAAAAATAAAAAAAATTGTATTTCCTAGAAATCATGACTTCTATACCAAGCCCTTAATTATCAACAAAAGTCAGTATACATAGACGGTGACTACTATTACTTTTATAAATCCACACTTATTTGATCATTGAGAGTAAAGAAGGTGGGGGGGAGCATTAAAGTAAAAATACTAAAAACACAAGGTTATTTTAAAATACACATAAAATAGCACATTTAAAAAATAACTTTTACATTATCTACTAAAATTAAATGAAGAAAATTATTTACTATTTACAAAATCCATTTTAGTATTTATAAATTGCCAGTCTTGCTTAAGGCAACAACAGACCTAAATTAAAAACTGTATTTCCTTATTCTCAGTCTCCCTGATCTAGAGACAGTGATATCATTTATAAGCAGATACCTATTAGAAATTCCCCCAAATATTCTCATTCCCCTTTGTCTAGAAGGTAAAGATAATGGTTAACGCTATCACATTCATCTTGTGAACCTGAGGGAAAGTCAAACAAATTAGAGGACTTTAACCCTGATATTCTTTTTTTGGTTTTTCGAGACAGGGTTTCTCTGTGGCTTTGGAGCCTGTCCTGGCACTAGCTCTGTAGACCAGGCTGGTCTCGAACTCACAGAGTGCTGGGATTAAAGGCGTGCGCCACCACCGCCCGGCTAACCCTGATATTCTTAAGCAACTATGATGCATGAGGTACCTCTTTCCTCTGGATTTAAGTACCAAAACTACCACCACCACCACTACTACCACCACCAACAAAACCTCTTTAAAAAAAGGTGGGGGGGGATTTACTCAAATGTCAAAATTCTTGAGAATGAAAAGGGGGTAGGGAGTGGCGGTGAACAGGAGGAAATACAGAGTCTGAACATATCAGACACGAATTAGTAACCAGTCTGGGGGATAGGAAATGAGTTCATTATACCTCATCTATCTGTAACAATACAGTATTTAAACATTTAAAAAGAAAATAGATGAGAATAACGTCTATAAATTAGAGCTTTGTGATTACATGCTTGGGCAAGACTATTAACCTCATTTTTTTTCAGCTACCTAATGGAAACAGTGATACTATCCAAAGCTGTGCCCTCAGATCGGGGCAAGGTAATCTCCTGAAGGTCCTGACAGATATACCCATCCTTACTCTAATGCTGTAAGCGCCTCAGGACTAGCTCATCTTATTTTCCTCTAACTCAAGCTGACAATGACCCTTTCTCTGAACTTCATTTTACAAGTCAGTGTGATAATTTATGTGTCCTACAATTTTCTAATTAGCCTATATATGGATCCAAGTACTCCACAGCAGTGCCCACAAGCACCCTGGCACCCTTTGAGTGCCCTCCTGAACTGAGGGCAGGTTTTTCTCTTTTGTTGGTGTTAAACAGCCCTTTTTTTTTTTTTTTTGTCTTACAGTGTTTTAAGTGAAATTCCTAAAATACAGGATGAGCAATTTCTAAAAGTAAGCTGTTTTTATTTGGGCTTAATATAAATCAGTCTTAATATAAATCCACTCAAAAGGTTTCCCATAATATTAAAAAAAATATTTATGTGTATGCATGTATGTCTGCCTAAGTTTATGTTATGCACATGCAGGTGCCCTAGAGGCCTCAAGGCACAGGGATCCCCTGGAACTAGAACTGAAGGCAGTTCTAAGCTGCCAAATGTAGGTGCTGAGACTGAACTTTGGTCTTTTCTCTAGTCCCCATTAACATTTTGCTGACTTGTGTTGACTTGTTTTAAGTAGCCCGGTTGACCTTGAACTTCTGATCCTCCCAACTTCACCTACCAAATGCTAGAGCTTAAGCGTGCACTACCACACCTAGCTTAAAAGAAATTTAAACCAATTTCTTCTTCTTCCACTTTCTCCCCCTGCCCCTCAAAATGAGTCTTATTTTGTAGCCTTGAATGGTCTTGAAGTTACAGAGTTCTGCCTGCTTCTGCCTCCTAGGTGCTGCCAATACACTGTCCTGTCTTATTATTTTTTATTTCACTTTAATATCTTACATTCAAACAACCCTATATACTACTACTACTTACCCCAAAACAGCATCAAAAAGTTGCTAACAAAATTCTTTGTAGCAAAGTACTTTGTTAACATGTACAAAGCTCTATGCTCAATCCCCAGCACCACAAAAAGTTTAAAGCACAGCCATTCAGGATATAATAGAGAGGTTACTGAAACAAAAACACCAATACTACAAAATTTTACCTCTGAATGCATGAACCTTTCTAAAAACAAACAATGACATTTGTATTCTTCTCACATCTTCATTAAATAATGCACTATTGCACACCAGCAGAAACATATCAAGAATTAAAAAGCAGGGCTGGAGAGATGGCTCAGAGGTTAAGAGCATTGCTTGCTCTACCAAAGGTCCTGAGTTCAATTCCCAGCAACCACATGGTGGCTCACAACCATCTGTAATGGGGTCTGGTGCCCTCTTCTGGCCAGCAGGCATACAGAATATTGTATAAATAATAAATAATAAATAAATATTTTTAAAAAAAGAATTAAAAAGCATAACACAAAATTCACTTGAAATAGACACATGCACTATGATACATACAACCACAGTCCCATACAATGATAAAACTCCTATCATTAAAGCCTCCAAAATAAGGACAAGATAATTATCTAGGAAATAAATGAGAGTCTTACTTGAAGGACATATACACAAAGAATAAAACAAACCAAAAAATATTTACACTGTGTAGCATGTACTTGCAAATTAATGAAATCAATTTAAAACAACACATGAAAGTCTACAATACATGTAAGTATCTTGTCAGGTAAGAAGTTAGAAAGTACCTAATCACTCATATTTTCTAAATACATAGTTTAAGGTATTCAAAACAGTTTTTAATATTACAAAAAGGAATTCAAAGTTTTTGGTATTATTATTTCGAGAAAATTTATATTTGTTGTCAATAATCAGAAGAAATTTTTTATTTGAGTAAGCTAATTTATTCCAGTAATATCCTCTACATAATATTCAGAAAACAAATTCTCTATGAAAACATCCTTACATACCCATGCAATGTGGTATTTATGAACTGTCAGTTTATGTCTTATCAGATTACAAAGTATTCTAAATGAAGCTCTCATTTTATCACATAGTGTAAAATCAAAGTTAAAAAATAACTTAAACATAAGCATGAACTTTTGAGATCAATTTCATTTCATGAATCAAACTCAAAATGAACCAGCAGAGTCTGTCTGGAAAGATGAATGTTCCCATTCCATCAGTGAGCCTTAAGTGTACATTTGTACACTTAAAGATGTCCTGAGTACTAACACAAACATATAAACTGTCGATTGAAATCTGCACACATAATATATTTAAAGAAGAAATAACCTTCTGTTACAGTGTCAAGTACATCAGAACTAACCTAACTTGCCAGAATTTCAAACTGATCAAATTATAATACCTAATTATGTAGTCAACTAAGATGTTAACATAATCTAGAGGCAAAAGTATTCAAAGAAACACAAATACTAAAAAAATTAAAAGAAACGTTTCTCTAAAAGCTTTTTCAGGAGAAACAAACATGCACAGTGCTTTATAAACAAAGCCACATCCTGACATGGTTTGCCACAATCAATGAAGCAATGGTTTTAATAATCAGATTGAATAGCGCTTTGATATGGGAAATATATATATATATATATATTCTACCTACCTTGAATGTTTATAAAGTTTACGAGGTCTACTATGCAATTTCCGATCCCAATTCTCTGGATCGCTGGAGTTACTGTCATAGGGATGAGGCCGTCCTGCCATCCCACTTCAAGTTTCCTCACACTATTGCTCTGAAAGCACACATGTAGCACCCATAACCTACATAAAAGAGTAGTGTTGACCTTTAAATCTATGCCATGCAGAATAAAACAGCCATAGAATGTCATATACTTGAGATTACTATGATATACTTGTAAAGTGCTAAGTGGATCATCAAATGTTAACCATAAAATGTCACAAATCAGATTAAAATAAACCCTGAAGTGTTTTAAAGGTACTTTCTACTTGATACATCTGCTCAATTTGCTACCCTTGTGTGTCAGTTTAATATAGTACTTACATAAGTACACTTAAACAATTATCAAAGTATTTCATGTTTCCAAACATCAATCAATCAGTACCCCTAAAGCAAAAACAATCAATAGAATGATTATTTTACATAAATTTTCACTTGGAATATTTCTTAATTGCCAAAATTAAGATGCTTTAAAAGGCATCTTTTTGCCTTTTCTCTACCAGAGATTAAATTTAGGACCTCATGGAGGTTATTCTAGTGCTCTACCTCTAAGCTACATTTTCCAGTGGCACAAGGCATTTTAAGACCAAATAATACTGTTATTTTTTCCTTAACCAAATTGATGCTAAATAGAAAGTTAATTTTTGCTGACAAATGTTTGTATAAAGTTATCCTAATGTTTCCCTACAGTGCAATTACTACAAAGTGCTTTATCAATGAATCCTATCAATATTTTCTCCATATATACAAGGTTTAGAGCTACTAAATCTATCAAAGTTACAAAGAAACTCAGTAGCTTTACATAATAGCTTAACTAAGTATTTTAAAAGTATATTAAATATATAATCTTCCCAATCATCAAGATGACTGGCCTTATAATCCCATATATAGAACAGAAAATAACCTCAGAATTTTGGTAATTTTGCAGTTTACAATGTTGATCAGCAGTCAGATTTTAAAAAACAGTAATAATGCCTGGCGGTGGTGGCACACACCTTTAATCCCAGCACTCGGGAGGCAGAGGCAGGCGGGTCTCTGTGAGTTCGAGTCCAGCATGGTCTACAACAGCTAGTTCCAGGACAGGCTCCAAAGCCACAGAGGAAAAAAAAAACAGTAATAATTTAGTATATAAAATAGTCCTGATGTTGAAAATCACACATTCATTTGACAACAGATCAGATTTTATTTACAGGGATTGTGAACATACACCACTACCACCACCATCAAACTAATTAATTGATAAACAAATGTATACAACTTTGCTCAAATTGTCTAGCAAAATTATGTAAATCTGACTAGAACCAGGTTCTCTGACACTGGCTCCAGCATTCTTTCAACTGAATTTCTAACTGAATTTGATGGAGTGAAATGAGGAGCTGCTCACAAAATTCAAAGACGGCCAGTAAGATGGCTCCTGGGTAAAAGCACTTGTGCAAAGCAAAGTCTTACAGTCTGAGTGGGAGAACCGACTCCTGAAGACTGTCCTCTGACTTCCACGTGCATGGGGTAGCATGGGAGTACACACACACACACACACACACACACTACTGTGGGACAATGGTCTTGTACCCTGTAAAGATTTGTCACTTGTATTGGTTTAATAAAACGCTGACCAACCTTATTATCTATCAGTAAGCTTCTTAGCATATTTGCTTCAATGAAATTAAAAAAAAAAAAACTGTTAAAGGCTTTCCATTTCCCCTACCTAAATTGCTTAGCTTAAGAAGTTCCTTCAAAAATTGGCATCTGAGTCTCAAACATCCATCCACACCACAGCATGCAATCTGAAACATACTACTGTTGGATCTTCAAAAGCAATTACTGGAGTACTGCACAGAGTTTTGAGAGAATACAGAAACAACAGAAATAGTCCATGTTCTAAATAACTTAGAAATAGTCTATTGCAGAGGCTGGGCCTGTTCATTAGGTCTGCAACTGTTGTGAAAAGTTTGGATGATGTGGCCCTGGAGGAGGTGTGTCATCGAGGGCAGGCTTCAAAGTTTCAAAAAGACTTATGTCATTTCTAAAGATAGCTCTTTTAGTCAAGATATAGCTCTGAGCTACTTACTTCTGACACTATGAGGCCTTTGTCTCACCATCATGGACTCTAACCATCTGATATAGTAAGCCCAATTAAATGCATCCCTTTATAAGTTGCCTTGGTCACTGTAGAAAAGTAAGTAAGATGATGTAAAAATCACAAAGAGTTGAAAAGGTTCTAAAAAACATTAATAGTTTCCTTCTGATTACCCCATTTTAAATATCCTTAAGGAGTGTAATATAAATTCATAAATTAACTGACAAGGGACTGAACAGTCATTTTTAGAAAGATCAAGAACTGTAGGATTTTGAGGGACTTGAATACTACACATATAGTCATGACACACACACAAAAATTTAAAACAAATGAAAATCTTAAAAACAAAAAGAAATTTTGTCTAAATGTAGCCAAGTAAACTTCTCTACAGAAAAGAACAACTTAATCTTGAATAGATTATTTTTAAAGGCTGTTTAAAACGGGCTGGAGAGGGGCTGGAGAGATGGCTCAGAGGTTGGGAGCAATGCCTGCTCTTCCAAAGGTCCTGAGTTCAATTCCCAGCAACCACATGGTGGCTCACAACCATCTGTAATGAGGTCTGGTGCCCTCTTCTGGCCTGCAGGCATACATGCAAAACAGAATATTGTATACATAATAAATAAATAAATAAATATTAAAAAAAAAAAAAAACGGGCTGGAGAAATGGCTCAGTGGTTAAGAGCTCTGGTTAGATCCCCAGCACCATTCTGTCACCAATGGATCACAGGCATCTCTAACTCCAGTTCCAGAGGATCAATGTCCTTTTCTGACCTCTGTGACACTAGGCACTCAAGTGGTCTATAGACATATATGCAGGTGAAACATCCATATACATAAATTTTTTTTAAATTAAAGCCTATTTAAAACACTAGAAAATCTCAAAAGCAAATCACAAGTGAAAGAAAAGGAATAGACCCTGAGTTCATTTCCAAGTTTTTGCTCAGTGTCTTCTATCTTACTGTAAATAAGGTGAAGAGAACCAGGAAGCCATGCAGCTAAACATGGAAAAGGAAACCTCAACACTGCCAAGTACAAATAGAGCTTAAAACAGATATACCAAAAGTGGAGGTAAAGACCCAATATTTGAGCAAAAACTTTGCTCAGATCATTGACTGATTGCCAAATTATACATGCAAGGGACAGACGCCCTGGAGAACCCCAATAACCTGGTGATAAAATACAGACTACAGAAGAATCTTCACTAGGTAGAATCTACCATCAAAACTTGCATGACAGAAGATCTAGGATTCATTGTTTATTAACTCAGTGTATTCCTTAATCATACACAACACACGCAGCAGAAAACTGAAACCTTTATGATTAGGATGTCAAAAGAACAAAGACCACTATCAAATAGGCTGGAACCAAAGGGGGTATATCCCCCACTAACCCCACTAAAAAGGACACAGAAAGGATGAATTTAAAAATCTGACGATAATCTTTGCCCAAGTTCTTTGCAATAGGTGCAGGAAGAAGTTCCTTCCACAAACTTGCTCCCACCCCCGACCCCAGATATGAAGCCAATGAATAAAAAGCTGCTATACAGTGCAGGGGAAATCAGTCTGCCTGAGTTCAGGCAAAATAGCCCTCAATGAGCAAACAACATCTCTCATGATAACACTGAACAGTCAAGTGTCAACTAAAAACTGTGGCATGTGAAGAAACAAGACAGGAAAAGGGATCTGATAAAAACTGACTCCATGTGGACCCAGATGTTGGGTTAGCAAACTTCAAAGCACGCTTTATAAATATATCCAAACAAAGGCCCATAGATCCAAAGATCTGAAAGAAGAGAACAGTCTTGATGAGTAACAAAAAGGAATCTCAGTAGAGACATGACAAACATCAAACAAACAAACAAATAAAAAAACAAACAGAAATTCGGCTTGAGCTGAAAGAACACTAAGATGAGAAATAAGCCACAGCAGCAGATGGTGACGAGAAATGAGCAGAGCTACAGAGAGCTGGAGCACATCTAACACACACACACAACACATGAAGTATTGGAGCCACTACTGACACACAACATCATGAATTATTATTAAAAACTTTAGAGAAGTCTGGGAAGTCGGATTTAATAAAATGTCTAGAAATATCAAGTAGAAAAATAAGAGGGGAAACTCATTTTTCTTTGGATCCCTTCTTACGTTATTTGAATTTTCTAAATATGGTTTTTATCATGATAAATTAACAAAATAGTTAAACAAAGTATTTGGAAGTGGTTTTGTCATAGAAATTTCCTTTAATATAATTTTTCTTCTTTAATAATTGCTTAAGTATAGTTTTGTTGATTATGTACACATGACTAATACATATAGACTAGTAAAATATTTCTACCATGTGTCCCTCATTATACAATATCCTTGAGGACAAGAACAAAGTATAATTCATGTCCATGTCCCCACAGTCTAGTACAGCTTAGTGTAACCTGAATAGAAGCATTTACAAAATGTTCTAATTAACTAATTAAGATGAAAGGCATGTAATATGACCCACTAAAGCAGAGGAAATGCAAAGCCTAAATATTTTATAAGAAGCCTTTATAGTGGCTTGTCTTAAAAGAGAATTATCATACAACTGTACCTACAGTTCAGTCATGGAAAAGAGCACTAATAAGAAAAACTATAATCCAATTTCTAATTACAATACCTACTCAATAAATATCAAGAAAATAGAAGTAGAGCTTTGAATGTAGCTCATACTTGTCTGGGTTCTATCTTCAGAGCACACACGCAAGTGCGCGCACATATGCACACACACACACTTGGACAGGGAAGGATGGAAGGAAAGAGCTGTAGGGAGGAAAGTAAATATAAAGCCCCTGAAAATATTACTAAAGATATAAAGTGAGCCCTAGGTTTCCCTGATATCACTCAAGCACTTTACCAACTGAGTTATTTCCCCACACCCAAAGTATTACTTCATAGATTTTAATTTTTTTTAATTTTTAATTTTTTTAAATAATTCATAGTAAATTAAAATTACTTTGTTCACTTATCTCTCACT